AATGAGACGGTGTGTTGGCCAATTTTTGCCATTGGATTCTGTTGAATCCGAGGGAAGAAATTAAAACTTCAAATCTCATTTGCCAGCCTCTATCTCCGGCCTAAGCGATAAACCAGAGGAGTTGAGAGAGAGAGTTTTTTCTAGAGAGAGTGACGTGGAGACCATTGGGAGGGAGACGGAGAAAGAGGAACGGGAGGCATTTTCTACAGCCAAGCAAAAATCTCTCTTTCTCTCTCTAAGTACTCTCTCTATCAATATTGTCTCTTTCTCTCTCTAAGTACTCTCTCTATCAATATTGTCTCTTTCTGTCTCTAGATTGCGGCATTTCTATGCATCTTCACAAGCCGGCACGCCATTACCACACCACTCCAAGCTTTCTTCCATTTAAAAAGATAAAAAAATCTTTGTTTCTAAGACCAGGTCTCTTTGAAAGCTTCTTTATCTCATACATCGATCGTCAACGTCGATCTCAGCTTGAGACGGTTCAGATCCTCCAGCTTCTGCTCTGTACACGTCATTAAGATCTGGTCTAGTGCTTTTTAAGAAGCCCAGTCTCCATTTCCCATAGGATTCTTTAGTTGCAGAGAGAAGAAGCACTGTGATGATCAAAACATGGCGTCGAAAATGAAGTATTTTTTAGTGTTGAATACAGTGACTTCTACAAAACATGTTTTGTAGAGCATTAGGTGAAGGGACCAGGTCCTGTTCGAAGGCTTCACATCTCCATGGGCACCGTCCACCTCATCTTCTGAGCGGTTCTAATTTCTCTAGTCCTGCTCTATATGTGCTTTTAAGATCCATTTGAGCATATGAATGAGCCCTAGGGGTTTGTAGTTGCAGAAGAAGATATGTTTTTTATATAAAAAGGGCTAGCAAATGAAAGATTTTGACAGTTTTGAATCTCCGGAGCTTACCCCTTTATTTCAGGGGTCATGGAGCCAATCTGTACAAAAAGGTACAAAATTGCTTTAAAACTCAGGTTACTGTATAGTTTTCTTTCCAAAAAATGGAAGGAAAGTCTGGAATTTGGTGTGAAGTATTGGATTTTTAGTGAAAAGTTGGTGTTGAACATTCAGAAGGAATGAGATATTGAGTTATGAGTTAACTAAATTACACCCTTTTTTTGTCAATTTTGGTATTTTTTATGTACTTTAAGCGTTGAAGTTGAGATTTACTACTCATGCTTGGATTTCACTTTTGATTTCAAGGGATCAGACTAAACTATGCACTTTTGGCAAGAAAATGTCCATTTTCAAGTGTAATTTACTATGATTTTCACTGCAAAGGATATCCAACTGCATTTCTCAAAATATCTTTTGATCAGTGTTTCTTTTCACAGATTTTAATCTCTGCATTATGCGTTTATTGTTCAGTAAAAGTGATGTAACTTTTGGTAGCAACAATATGCATTTATTTTTTAGAATCTCGTGATGCTTTTGGTATATAAATATAGAAAATTTAAGGAATATCTTTGCTAGAAACCTTGATAGTATTGAACTACTGATGTTGCTTAACATGAAATATCTCTTTATAGCGTTAAATAAATCCTTTTTTGAACTATAAATTGATAATTTCACTGAACCTTATTGAAATCTCTAGAAATATGGAAAGATATTATGGCTTCATTGACCATAGAAGATTGTCTGTTCAGTTTGCTGTAAAACCCCAGTTCATGGTTTAATTTTTTGGGTTTCCTTTTCCTTTTGGTTTTTCTTTTTTAAGAATTGAGGAACTTTGTGATTAGTTTTAATTTTTTTTTGGAATTTTAGTGGAATGTTCTACTGCCTTCGTCCTAAGGGAAATACCCCAATCATTCGGATCTGTAGTTGTAGAGTAGAATCAACAATTGATTCTTTGCTTTGATAATTTACAATCAATCAACATTTTGCCCCCCAATATACAAGTCTGCTCTATGTGGCAGAAGCTTAAGGGATGTTTCAAATGCATAATTTTTAATCTACCTACAATGAAGTTTTCTTGTCAACTTGAATTTTCATGTTAGCAAAAATAGTCACTATATATGATATTTGTAAACATGTATCAGTTTTGGTTTTGCTGCGACAATGATCCAAGCCATTAAATTTCTACTCACCTCATATTTACTAGGTAATCGATTCAGAATCATGCCACCCCCAAATGGCTGGAGCCAAGGGCTCCTCATGTGCCATTGAAGGGTGTGATTGCAAGGTCATGAGCGAAAAGAGACGAGAAGACATACTCCCTTGTGAGTGCAACATCAAGATATGCAGAAATTGCTATCTAGACGCTGTAAAGACAGGCGGGGGTATATGCCCTGGTTGCAAAGAGCCTTATAAGAATGGAGGTGACTTAGAAAAAGTAGGCCTAGATTCAGAGAGGCCTATGCATTTGGTTTATGAATTCGTATAACGGTGCTATTCCATCTTGGTTTTCTGATGTTGTTTATGAGTTCAAGTTGCCAACTGAAATTTCTGCAATTTTTCTAAGAGAAGAAAATAACTTAAAGCCAAAGAAGTTTTTGAGGATGGAAGAGGAGCAAAGACACACTCACTCTCTCCGATCAACTCTCAGTTCTGCAATCGCTGCACCTTCGAGACCTCCTCAAAGCTGCTGCCCAAGAACCCAATTGCACCAACCATGAAATCCAAAACACCTCTTCCAGCCTCTTCCAGAAGTGGAACCCGAAGATGAATGGAAGACAGGATAAGAAAGGAATTGAATTTCATTGAGTTAATTCAATAAATATTTTCCTTAGCCATCATCAAAATCAGATGGCATCACCTATACATGTTTCTTTTTACTTCAGGTCTTTGCAACTTTGGTAGCAATCATTTGATTCATTTGATCTTCTAATTAATACGATCTATGTAATCCATTGTTTCCAAATCAATTGTATCGGCAAGGGTCATAGTAATTATTTGGAATAATATTCAGTCTACATCAAGTGAATTGGATATCTTTTACTTATTCAAAGCCATTATGCCTCTTCTCTCCTAATATGTGATTGATCTTTATGAATTCTCTGCACAAATTCAAAGCTCCTTGCAAAGTAACAATCACAATTTCAAAGCTTATTGCAAAGTAACATCCATATCCTACAAAGCTGCTTGTTTTTTGCTTGTTTTTTTTTACATATCTATTGTGAATAATGTCAATTGAATTCTAATCAGGGATTAAAAAATCGCCGAGTCGAATTGGATTCGCCCTGTTCGACTCGAGAATCGCCAGAGAACAAGCCGATTCCACGAATAAATCGGGAATCGCCCGTATCTAGAGAGAACCAGGCTATTCCCAACAGTGACTAGCGAGTCAGATCGAGTCACCCTCAAGAACACCGGCTGCACAGTGTTCTTCATGGGATTTCTATTTTTTTTGTCATTTTGTTATCGATTTTCAACTTTTTCATCCTTATGAACAAATCTTACAGGCTTTAATTCAAATTTCGCATCAATTTCAGCCAATAAAACGAATTAAAAAGCACTGGCTTTTATCAACAAATTTCAATCGAAGAGTGAGTTTTAGGGTTTCCGCCATTTCACTGATTTCAAGAGAAAGAACGCAACATTTTTTGTAGAATTCAAGGTGAGTGATCGTAAGAGTGTTGGTCAGAATTTTGTGTTCATAATTTGTGATTTTCTTGGAGGAATACATATCAATTTTGAGTTTGAAGGCACGGGTGCACAAAGAATAGGTAAGACTGTGTTTTTTTTTTTTTTCCACCATGCGATTAAATTCAATCAATATTTTACAAATCATGTATTAAATTTATAGGGTTTTGATTCGTTGTAATGTTGTTTATCATCGCATGTATTCAATTTGATTATATTTATTCAATTTAAGTTGGATTTTGTAGAAAAAAAGAGTGATGTCTGTTAAAAAAAAATGGACTGTGTTTTTTTTTTTTTCTGCCATTTTCTCAATTTCAGTAAATATTTTGCAAAGAATGTGTTGAATTTATAGGGTTTTTATCCGTTATAGTGTTGTTTATCATCACATGTATTCAATTTTATCTGATTTATTCAATTTGACCTTCATTTTTTAGATTGAATGACTGATGTCTGTGAAGAACTGCGTTTTTTTTTTTTCCTCAATTCAATCGATTTTATTTAATATTTTGATAATAATATGTTAATATTATAGGGCTTTGATTCTTTATAGTGTTATTTATCAAAACATGAATTCAATTGGATGTAATTTATTCGATTTGAGGCGGATTTTTTAGCTGGAATGACTGATATTAGGTTGGTCTGTGAAGACCTGGGTTTTTTTTATTATTATTCATGATCAATTTTTTTGAGAAATCGTGATTTTTTGAAAAATTGTTTTTGATTATCAATAGGAATTAAACAATATTTTTAATTTTTATTGTTAAATTTCTAATTCAAAAAATTGCATGTTGATAGATTATTTATGCAAAAAAATATATTTTATTATATTTTTAATGCAAAACTGTATTTTTAATTTGTTGTTAATGCAAAAAAATACATTAACAAATACATGTTGTGAAACTGTAATATATTTTTAATGCAGTTTTGCATTAAAAATTTATTTTTAATTTTTTAAATTTTTAAGGCAAAAAATACATGTTGTTAAACTGTATTATCATGAGGAATTAAAGTGAATATCATTGTAAAAAAATCGTGACATGTTATTATATTTTTAATGCAAAACTGTAATTTTTAATTTGTTGTTAACGCAAAAAAATACATTAACAAATACATGTTGTTAAATTGTATTATAATTTTAATGCAGTTTTGCATTAAAGAAGTATTTTTAATTTTTTAATTTTTTAAATTTTTAATGCAAAAAATACATGTTGTTAAATTGTATTATCATGAGGAATTAAAGTGAATATCATTGTAAAAAAATCGTGGCATGTTATTATATTTTTAATGCAAAAACTATATTTTTTAATTTGTTGTTAATGCAAAAAAAAACATTACCAAATACATGCTGTTAAACTGTATCCTATTTTTAATGAAGTTTTGCATTTAAAAAAAAATTTTAATTTTTAAAATTTTTAAGGCAAAAAATACATGTTGTTAAACTGTATTATCATGAAGAATTAAAATGAATATCATAGTAAAAAAATCGTGTCATGTTATTATATTTTTAATGCAAAACTGTATTTTTAATTTGTTGTTAATGCAACAAAATACATTAACAAATACATGCTGTTAAACTGTATTATATTTTTAATGCAGTTTTGTATTAAAAATTTATTTTAAATTTTTTAAATTTTTAATGCCAAAAATACATATTGTTAAACTGTATTATCATGAGGAATTAAAGTGAATATCATTGTAAAAAAATCGTGGCATGTATGATAATTATATTATCTTGCAATTTCAATTTTATTATTCAATTTTTAATACAAAAAATGTATGTTCTTGATAATTGAGTTGTAGCCATGTTTGGAGCTTTTTTTTTTTATTATATTATCTTGCATATTTGTAATTGAGATGTATGAATATTTGTGATCATTTCAATCGAGTTGGGATTGTGCCGACTATATCATTGTAAATTTTATTTGTGACATTGTGAATGACTATATGACTGTAAATGTTCTTTGTATCAAATATATGTGTTGGCATTATGGATGACTATATTAATGTAATTTTTTTCTTGATTCTAAGTGTGACTTATACAGACCTTTTTTATCTATAATGTTGCATAAATATTATTTTTTTCTCAGTAGAAACTAATTCATATTTGTCGAAATGAAGATTTGTGACAAGTCCATATGTATTAGCATTGTGAATTGCTATACCATTGTAAATATATTTTTTATTGATATTATATCAATGTAAATTTATTGTTCTATATGTAGCGGCTGATATAGGCTATTTTTATCTATAATGTTGCATAAATAAATTATTTTTCTCAGTAGCAATTAAAATATTTTTGTCAATTGAAGTATTTTGCATTAACAAATATAACTTCATGAACTACCCCTACATAATATCACTCCACATGATGATTATTTTTCATGTTCAACTGTCAGATTAATTTTTAACCTTTTACATTTTAAAGTTGAACCATGGCAAGATCTGCGGAAGACCCTACGTGGCAACATGGGGTCAGACTTGATCCCAACAAAAAAGATAAAATTATTTGTAATTACTGCTAAAGAGTGATAAATAGTGGGGTACATAGGTTCAAGCAACACTTGGCAAGGGTTAAAGGAGATGTTTTTGCGTACAATAGTGTCCCTAATAATGTAAGAAAGCAGATGACGACATTTCTCAAGGCTACCAAAGGTAAAAAAATTGCAACGTAGAGGATAGATGAGGAGATAGCTAGTTTATATACGTCATCAAGCGGGAATAATCCAGAAGAGCAATATAATAATGACTTGGAGATGACCATAAGAATGAGTTTATATGAAACATACTAGAGAGAACGCGAGTTTAGAATGCCTGGTGGTTATTACATGGGCATACATGGTGGGCCTAACTCAGACATGCTTAGTGGGCCCAGCTCGAGCGTGTATGGCGGGCCCAGCTCAAATATGTATGGAAGGGTTGGTGGCAATATGTATCAAGAGGAATCATACGTTGAAGAAATTGTTTTTAGCTTACCTAGGAGTGCCAGTATTGCAGGTCATGGTTGTATAGACCTATTTCTTTCAAAGCCTAAGTCAGAACAGATGACCCTCAAAGGCATGGTGAAAAGTACGAGAAAAATGTTGGGTAGATATATATGAAAATAGTTCTACAATAAAGGGATCCCCTTTGATGCAGCCAATAACTCATATTTTCCACCTATGGTCAACGCAATCTAGAGAGCCGGGCCCCCCGAGGTAAAACCCCCGACAGCATATGAGCTCAGTGGGCCAATATTGGATGAAAGGGTGGAGGAAGTTAGAAAGTGGATTGAAGAATATAAACAGAGTTGGTCAAGAACAGGCATTACTCTCATAAGTGATGGTTGGTTGAATAAAGTTAGCAAAAAGGAGTTTAACATACCTCAAAGATCATAGTATAACTTCCAAAATACACAAGATAATCACATAAAACCAGTTTTAGTTTAAGCTATACCCACAAGATCATCAACCCACAAATTTTTAAGCTCAACAGAAATCACAACAACGAATATATAGTATATAACAATTTAATAATGAGAAATCACAACAAATTTTTTGACTCAAAAAAAGGGGCGCTTTGAAAGTTGTGAAAAAAGGGATCCATCATGGGAATCAAACCTCAACATGCTCTACATATTGTAATATAGTATATAATAATTTAATATATTATATTAATATAATAGAATAATATACTATAATATTCTAGACACCCCAATTTTGATTAAGGAAACCGCAGTGGACGAAAACGCCCCAGGGAAACCATCCTGACACTTGAACCATTCGCACCTACTTTAACCCATCCGTAAAATATGTCAAAATAATAATCAAACTCACCAAACCAGGAGCACCTTAGGAAGAAGGATGATTTGGCGCCACTCTCAGTGCCGCTGGTGTAATTCTCAACAACAACAGAAGGCAAAAAGAATACAGCATGCAAAAAACGGCCGAAAGGAGAGTGATGGGCCCGACGCCACTACTAATGGCACCAGCACCCCTTGAAATTCCACCAGACCAATCTCACCCCAAAACAACTGCAGTCTGCATAAGTGACATAAAGCGAAGTAATGATGTTTATCAGTATGGACTAACATATGTCAGACTGTACTGATGTGATCTCTGACAATGGTATGAGCATACATGCCAATTTTAGGTAAACTAGGAAGTGTCTCGTCAGCCGTCGAAAGTACGATGCATCAGAATAATTGTCAGAAACCATCGCCATTCAAAATTGTGTTGGAGGAGTTCCAAGTAGCATTTGACCTTGATCAAAAGCCCCAAAGCATGACACGTGGCATTTTTGAAGGTAGAGCAGTTCCAAGTGGTGCCGACACCACTACTGGTGGCGCTTAAACTC